AACCACAGTCACTCTGCTGTGCAATAGAATATCAGAACTTATTCCTCCTATCTAATTGTAATTTTGTACCCGTCGGCCAGCCTCTCCCTGTCTGCCTTCTCCCTGCCCTTCCCCCCATCTCTAGTAACTACTGTTCTGTTCTCTGCCTCCATAATAACAACTTTTTTTTCTTAGACTCCTCATATGAGTGAAGTCATACTGTATTTCTCTTTCTGTGCCTGGCTCAACTTTTTTTCTTAGACTCCTCATATGAGTGAAGTCATACTGTATTTCTCTTTCTGTGCCTGGCTTACTTTACTTAACATAGTGACCTCAAGTCCACCCATGCTGCTGCAAATGACAGGATTTTTTTTTTTTAATGGCTGAATAGTATTGTTGTGTATATATACATTTTTAAAATCCATTCACCCAGTTTTGGACACTTATGTTGATTCCATGTCTTGGCTATTGTAAATCGTGTTGCAATAAACATGGAGGTGCAGATATCTTTTCAACATACTGACTTCACTTCTTTTGGGTATATACCCAGTAGCGGGATTGCTGGATCAAAGTGGTAGTTCTATTTTTAATTTTTTTAGGAACCTCCATACTGTTTTCCATAATGTCTGTACTAGTTTACTCTCCCACCAACAATGTGCAAGTGTTCCCTTTTCTCCACATCCTCGCCAACACTTGTTTTCTTCTGTCTTTTTGACAAGAGCCATTCTGCCTGGAGTGAGGTGGTATCTCATTGTTTTGATTTGCATGTCCCTGATGACTAGTGATGTTGAGCATTTTTTCATATACTTAAGGACAATATTTTCATGCATTATTTAGACCCTTGATATCAAAGTGCACCCACAGACCCACAGTATCAGTATCCACTGGGAGTGTGTTCCAAAGGCTGAATCCTAGGTCATACTGTAAACCTACTGAATTACAACCTGCATTGGGTATGCCTGGGTGACCCATATTCACCTTAAAGCTTGCAAACTTCACACGGACCCCGACTTACAGTGGTTTGACTTATGGTGTTACAACTTTACACTGGTGCAACATGCATTCACTAGAAATCATAATTTGAATTTTGATCTTTTCTTCAGCTAACAATATGTGATGTTCTGTAGCTTAGGTGTATAAAATGCATTTTCCACTTAATGTTTTCAACTTATGATAAATTTATCAAGCTGCAACCTCATCGTAAGTTGAGGAGTGCCTATGTTAATTTAGAGAACTCAAACTAATTTTTAAAAAAGAGGGCTGGCTGGTTAGCTCAGTTAGTTAGAGCACAGTGTTATAACACCAGGGTCGAGGGTTCGGATCCCTATACTGGCCAGCTGCAAAAAAATAAATAAATAACGTCACCTGTGGGTCCTTCTGGAGTTTCTTTTTCTAGAGTTGCAGAACCACAGCCTCTGAGGATGAGCCAAGCATCTCTTTATAGAAAACTCTCCAAGATGCCCATCTGTGGTCCAGAACCAGTGCTTGATAGTGAGCTTGTGAGGACAGAAGCTTTGACATCATATATACCCGGCTGAGTTGTGGGAAATACTACTATAATCTTGGGCAAGTCAGCTCTTTGAGGCTGTTTCTTCATCTGTAAAGGGATTCCACCTCATCGAGCCATTGCAAAGAGTCTGAGATCGCTCTTAGCGCAAGCCCTACTATATTTTTTATACACAAATAATACTTCTGTGTCCTGGGGGGTGGGGGAGTCTGGGCACCGTGGCGGACCACTTTAGGCCTTCTTTCACTCCATATCCCTACTTGAAAAGCTCAGATCTGAGACAGTCTCTAAAAGCCTGTAGAATCTTTCTCCAGTGGGAAAGGCAGGCACAGAGCAGGGAAAGGCACATCCCTGAAGCTGGGAATAGAATTTTCGGCTACTGACTAGAAGGGAGAAGAAACGCTCCTGGGTGACTTGGTGCTAAGCCGTGCCTGTTTCCCTAGCTGCCGCCTACTGACAAAAGCCATCTCAATCAGCAGCCGCCCCTGTGGGCAGGTGGCTGGAGGACATTGGCCTGCAGTGTGGGCGACTTAGGAGTGGAACTCCTGCTCCTCTGGGTGCAGCTGGAGCCCAGAGTGGACAGATCTGCTCATATGCGGCTGGTGAGAGCTCTGTCTTCTGGAGGTTTGCTTGGTTCTGCCACGCCAAGTATAAGCAAAGCCCACCACAGGTAAACTGGCAGACGGGCACCCTGATTCCTGGCAAAGGATGTCTTTGCACACATTTTTCTTCTATCCACCCACCCACCCACCCATCCATCCATCCATCCATCCATCCATCCACCCATCCATCCATCCACCCATCCATCCATCCATCCATCCATCCATCCACCCACCACAGGTAAACTGGCAGACGGGCACCCTGATTCCTGGCAAAGGATGTCTTTGCACACATTTTTCTTCTATCCACCCACCCACCCACCCATCCATCCAATGAAACCAGGTTTGCTTTTCAACTCATACCCTGCTGCCTGCTTCTGGGGAAAGAGCACCGCATCAGAAGCAGGACCTGAGCTGAGTCTCTCAGGTGTCTGGAGGTGCAAGCCCATTCATTGTAAGTCCTCCAGAATGCCAGCCTTGCTCACACTCCCATGCCCACTCCAAGCTCAGTCCCCACCCTCCCACCCCTTCTTGGTCATTGACAGGGAGGCACTGGCACAGGGAGAGGGAACGTGGTCCTGTGCCACTTTGTGTTCCCACCCCCAATTCAACAGGAGGAACCAAGCAGATGCACAGGCCTGCTTTCCCATCTGACTTTATTTCATGTTTTTTCTATAAAACTCCTCCATAATTTCACAACTTAACAAAAGTTTAAAATCCAGGAGAGAAACAATCCTGTAACTTGTTACAAACACAATTCTCCTTATTCCTTTTATCCAGGAGTTGGTCTCGGGCCGGTGAGTGTCGTAATTCCTAGTGAGACACATTCTTTGTAAAAACCCTTGTGGGTAAGAAAGGTATTCGATACCTTTTGCTTTCGGTTTACACTTTTTTAGGAGAGAGAAGAACATAGGGATTTGCACTGGGGGCAGGCGGCTGAACACAAAACACGTGGCAATCACAAAGTGCCGGGCCCCTTCCTATGGAAGCATCCCCAGAGCCTGCGTGGGCCCGGCTGCCGGGCAGCCAGGGGTTGGGGTAGGGGAGCAGCTGGGAATGCTGCGGTCAGGGCCCTGGCTGCCCAGCAAATCCATCCAGTGGTCACGGAGACAGCCCTGGGCCTGGAGCAGCTCTGGAGGGCAGTGGAGAGGCCTTCCAGCCAGAGGAGATAACGGAGAAATGGGTTGGTGCTTCCAGAGGCCTTGGCAAGTACAGGAAGGGCCAGTGCTGCCACCAAGGGCAGACAGGAGAGCCCAGCCCTCCTCTGGCTGAGCAGAGAACCGCCCAGGAGGCAGTGTGGATCCCAGGAGATCCCTGGCAGACTCTGCAGGTAGAAGGCCAAGCTGCCACCCCCTCCAAGCAGCCCACGTCAGGCCGCTCCATCCTGTCCAAAGTCTGAAAGTTTCCAGAGAAGAAAGAGAGGGGCCCCACTTAGCAGAACTGCTGGCCTGCCTGGGGAAGGGGACGGCCACATGGGCCTGTCCTCTTCCTGACACCTGAAGGCAGTGGGGCCAGGAGAGAAACAGAGCAGGGGTGAGGAGCCCCAGAGGCTTCCTCTGGAAGTTCTTGGGCCTTTTCCCGAGAATTCTCGGGCATTCCCCAGGAAAGCTGGAGTTGGGGGAAGCCTTGGAGGCAGGAGTCCCCCCAGGGAGTGTTCAGGATCTGCCTGACAGACAGAATCAGAGCAGGAACAAGATCAGGGACCTACGGGAGGGGAAGACGGAGTTCCCCATGTCTGAACTCATAGACTGGGAGCAGGAGACACCTAACAGTGGGTGAGAGAGAAGGCGAGCCCACCTTGGGCCCCCAGTTCTCTTTTCCTACATCATGGTCAGGGCACGAGGACTTGACACAACTCTGAAGTCGGGGTGGGGGCCTGGAGGAGCCTTGACTCAAGGTCTGGGGAAACAGAGGCTGACCACACAGGCCTCCAGTGCCTAGAAGCCCCACCCAGGGTGGGCTGATCCCCAGGGGCGCCCTGGCCCTAGCGAGGGCTGGCTTGACCCGTGGAGAATCTCCTGCAGACAAGGAGTCAGGTCTCCAGCTGGGCACCAGCGTGAATGGCAGCGGTGGGCAGAGGGCCGGGCAGAGCTGGAGAGAAAGGCAGCCTGGGGGGCCATGTGGCCAACCGGCCTGGCCCCGGAATGAGGGGCTGACTCTGAGTCCAATGCACCTCGGAAAACTCCAAACTATCCCGTCTTATTTGGCAAAAGCTCATTTTTTTCCAAAGTTCGAAGACTTGATCAAAAACAGGGGAGGAAAAGGATCCTATGGAGGAAGAGGAGACCGGGGCATCGTCACAGTCTGTCCCTGGGTGCTGTTGGTGCTAGTCTCAATGGATGCCCGCAGGCCAGGAGCTCCCTGGTGCCCTGAGGACTCGCCACCATCGTAGTGTTCACTGGAGTCTGGCAGGAGGAGAGGTGTCCTCGGAGCCACAAAGGAGGTGTCCTCCACACGCCTGAAGATGGCCAGCTGCCACTCCTGGCTCAGCCTCCAGCCCCGCGACAAGACCACAGACACATCTTAAGCTACGAGTCCCACCTTACTCACCCCCACCCCACCCCCGTGCACTGCTGCCACAGAAACGCACATCCGGAAACCGCTCTTGTACGTACGGTGCACACGCGTATATAATAGAGAGAACCACACAGCACGGAGTCCTAGCACAGTGAGAGCCGACAGAAGAACACTGCCTTAGCTTACACGAGGATGACGCAGACACGGAGGCGGAGCCTTCCAAGGTCCTGGGCGGGCAGGTGGGTGGGCAGAGGGTGTGTTCTGAACCGTGTGAGGAGGCTGGAGATGGCACCTGGAGTCAGTCCCAGCAGTCGGTCTTGGCTGCTCACAGAGGCCCAGGCAGTCAGCCTGTGCCACACAGCCCGCCATGGAGCCGCTGCACCGGGGGCTGAGGAGGCTGGAGATGGCACCTGGAGTCAGTCCCAGCAGTCGGTCTTGGCTGCTCAGAGAGGCCCAGGCAGTCAGCCTGTGCCACACAGCCCGCCATGGAGCCGCTGCACCGGGGGCTGATCCCAAGGTCAGCTGACGGGGCTCCAGCCCTGTGTGCTTCTCCCCCTTTCAGGAGCAAGGACCAGAGCTGCCATCAACACAAATGGCTTTATGAGGGGAGCCCTGGTGGCAGCACGTGTGGGGCTGGGGACAGCGGCACTAGCCTGGCACCCCGCGGCTCTGGGGCTCCAGACAAGGTGGTGGGGAGGGCGGGTTGGAAGCCGCCAAGGAAAGTGCAGCTGGCTGTGAGGGCCGAGGACAGGGCGGTCACTAAGGCAGTGCTGCGGGCAGGCGAGTCGAGAGAGAGGAGGGAAGGCGGGGCCTGGACTCGGCCTCCCAGGACCCCAGCGGCAAGGGCCCAGCACCCAGCCCAGGGTCATGTGGCCACAGCCTCCAGGTAGCTCTGCAGCTTGCGCACGGTGGTCTCATCCAGGGAGAAGAGGTCGAAGTCAAAGGTGGTGTTGGTGACGTTGAAGTGGCCAGTCTCCTCGATCAGGTTCACGATCTGCAAGATGGTGGGCAGGGCAGTTCAGTGCACGGGAGGCTGAGGGTGGGGGGTTTCCCACCCCCAAGGGGCCCCCAAGCTGGGGGGATGGCTCCTTGGAGTTGCAGCCAGGGGCTCCAGCAGCCCACACTCCTCATGGGCATTCCCATCCCTGGGACTCGGTTGCGTGGGTCCTCAGGGAGGAGCCAGGTGCCGCAGGCAGGCCCAGGCAGGCCCCGTACCTGCTGTAGCACGTTGCGCTCCCGCAGGGCCATCAGCCTCCTGTGCAGCTCCACCAGCTCGTCTGTGTAGGCCTGGGGGCAGGGGGCAGGGGAAAGCAGGATGGGCTTCAGCAGGGGCCTCAGCCCCGCCCCGCTCCCAGGCCACCTCCCAGGGCCTAGGCCATGCCCAACCCATACCTGTGGCCCAGCCCGTCCCAGCATAGGACAGAGGTGGCAGGCCCAATGCCGTGCCAGGAGACAGGGGAGGGCTAGGACCCCCACCCAAGGACTGTCCAGCCCTGGGGGCTCGGGGGCCCCTCCATCAGCTGTGCCTCCCACCGCCCAACCCTGCCCCAAGTGAGCCCTGCCACCTTGTCGTAGGTGCCTTTCTTGAGGATCTTCTCCGGCTTACTGCAGGACTCTGGGCTCCTCCGGCCTGATGCCTGCAGGGAAACCCAGGTCTCTGCTAAGCTCTCTGGTGACATCCTTCAGCCCCTGATGCCCTACAAGCCCTCCTAGGCCGGCCCTGCAGGGCGAGGGAGGAAGAGCCTGCCCATCCTGGGGCATAGGGGTGAACCCAGCCTCCCCCCGTGCCTGCTGCCACCTGACTGGCTCCTGACTGCAGGGCACACCCTGGGCCTCCCAGGCTTACCTTGCTGTTGGGCGGGGGTGGCTTCTGGGGAGGCGGGGGATCACGGCCGGGCAGGCAGGAGTCAGCACTGTTGTCACTCTCACTGTCACTGAAGCTCAACCTGGACACCGGACACACAACTCTTTAGTCCCTACCAACCCCCTCCGCCAGCTCCCATGGCTCAGCCCACCACTTCAAACGTGTGCTGTGGTTGCTGGCACCCAGGCCTGTGCCCTGACAACCTTGCTTAGCCTGAGAAAACAAAAACAGAATGCACTGCCACCTGACTCCGCCACTACCACCTGATCCCACCGCACTCTGGAGCACAGGCCTCTGTCAATTACATCGGCCACCCTGAGAGGGGATCAGGGGGAGTCCTAAATGGGAGTTGTCTGGTGTTAGTGAGAGGCCCAGGCCTTCAGCCTTGTGCCTCTTGGGTGGCAGGTCCTCAACTTCTGCCTCAGTTTCCTCATCTTTAAAGGGCGGTTGCTGTGAGGATTACACAGGACGATAACAAGCTCACAGTGACAGATGCTCACTACTACTGTGGGAGGGAAGCGTTTGATTACTCGGAGTTCAAAAACCCCTCCCAGTGTGGGTCTGGAAGCCTCTCCTCAGGAGCCCCATTTCTCCCTCAGCCCCTCACTCTGGGTGAAGCATCCTGGCCCGCTCCCCTCATTTTCCCAGCATCTCCTGCAGCACAGCAGGGAGTGGGGTGTGTAGAGGAAGCCCAGCAAGGCCCTGTAGGTGCTGCCCCACCCCACTGCTGCCCTGGGGGCCAGTTGCACACAATGCCCTGTGATGGGGTCTCCTTCTGGGGCCCCTGCTCCATCAGGGACGTTTTTGTTTGATCCAGTAAGAAGAGCCCTGACTGCGGTTACTCTACAACACACCTAAAACACGGTCAGTTCCCCATGCTGTCCTTCTGCTCCTCCTGCCTGAAATAAGCCTGCTACTGAATGAAGGGCCAGACTTGCAGCCAGGCCAGATCTGTCCTCTCCCGGCTGGGACTGGGTGGTGGACACTCTGGTCTTGCTCCTCCCCTTTTCCAGGAACGAGCATCAGGCTCCAGGGCCATGAGCTTGCTTCCTCCCTTCCCAACTTCCCTGGCCTTGGATGCTCCAGGTCCGACTCTTGTTCCCTGGGTGACACCTCCTGCCTCGTCCCTGTGTCCAACAGGTGGCAGCTAGGTGCCATCGCACTCTAGACCTCTCAGAAAGCAAACCAGGATGAGCAGGGGCTCTGCCAGCACCAGCTCTGATGTCACAGCCTGCATGGCCCCTTCCCTGACCATGTCACCTGCAAGCCCTCACGTGGGGCCTCTCACAAACGTGGGTAGAGGAGGACATCGAAAAGTGCTTCTGCGCGTCTAGGTCCCTGCGAGCCCCTTGAGAACAGGACCTGCTCTGTCGCCTCTTGCAGTTCATAGCAAGCAGAATCTACAGTGTCACCACAAGAGGCAGGAGCATGCTGCCATTAACCTGTCCCTGGGACATCAGTCCTCCACATCCAGAGGCGACGTCCCTGTCAGGGCCTCAGGCCCGGACCTTCCGAAGGCTGTGCCCCCACGCCGAGCGGCTGCGCCTGCTTTCTCTTGTGGCTGTGAGTCACGCTCCGTGTGTGTGCTGATGGTGAGCGCCAGCACACGGGGAGGTCCTGTTTGGGTCTCTGTCTCAGTGCTAACTCACGGGAAGGTGGTTTTGATCAGTAATAACATGGAACGACGCCTGCAGGTGTTGTCAGGCTTCCCATGCAGACCGATGAGCAGCCCCACCTTAAAGAGGAGCCACTGAGGCCTGTGGGCTTTGGGCTCATGGGGAGGAGGGGCTGGACTCACACGGTGAAACTGACGCCCCCTACCCCCCGCCTGTCCTGCTCTCACTAGCGAGCACTCCCACCTAAGCCTGTGGGCCTGGGCCAAGGTGTGTGCTCTGGGGCATTGCTGGGCAGGTGGTCAAGCATGCAGAGGCTCCCTGAGGTGACATCACTCCATAAACTCCAAGATATCCAAAGGATAGGCCTCAGCCTACCCAGCTCAGGGGAAGGCCAGTGGGCAGCCAAAACTGCTCCCACACCAGGGGATCTGTGAGTCCCAGGACTGAGTTCTCAGTTGGTCCCAACCCCGAGGCACACACAAGGTGGGAGGACTGATGATACCCTGGCCCAGCCTACCCAGCTCAGGGGAAGGCCAGTGGGCAGCCAAAACTGCTCCCACACCAGGGGATCTGTGAGTCCCAGGACTGAGATCTCAGTTGGTCCCAACCCCGAGGCACACACAAGGTGGGAGGACTGATGATACCCTGGCCCAAGGACCAAAGGACCAGCTCGCTCCCCTCCCCCACACGTCTTAGACCAGGGCTGGCCCTTGGCTGCTGGGCACTCCCTTGCTCTCCCCCTACATGCCCCTCTTCTCAATGGCAACTCCCTGAACATCCCCACTCCTCCCTGCCAGACAGCCCACACCTGCCAGCAACAATGAGGCAGGATGCCACCTAAGGACCCTATGAAGGCAGGCCAGCCTGAGAGGTCCCTCAGCCTCAGCTTCAGTGACCAGGAGGGAACACACAATCCCAGCCGCACCCCCATGTCCAGGCTGGAGTGAAGCTACCTGGGGACCTGACGACATCCCGCAGGCTCAGGTGCTCCCTCTGCACTAGGCACTTGATCCCTGGGGGATCCTGGCCCCACCTCCAGCCCCACAATCATAGCAGGCCCAGACAGAGTCACCCCGCATCCCCCGCCCATCCCCCAGCCCAGTCACCTGGAATCCCTCCCTGGATTTGTCTTGACGGCAGTCTCCTCACCCGATGAAGAGTCGTCCTCATCGGACTCCTCTGACTGCAGGTCCTCTACCATGGAGCGCAGGGGGCCTGGGGGAGGGCGGGAAGGAGGGGGAAAGGGGAAGGGCTCCAGTTGAGCCTATAGTGTCCCCTTCCCTCCAAGGCCACAGGGAGCTTGACACCGCTGACCCCCAAAAATGCACCCACACAGCCCGCCTATCTCCAAGAACTGCCCTCTACCCCTCCCTACCTTCCTGGCCCTGCTCGCAGGCCTCGGACCCCTGGCCTTCAGTGGGACCGCAGGGCCCCTCCATTGCCAGAGCTGAAGCAGAATCCCCTGCTCCTGGGCGCGGAGATCAGAGGCTCTGCCGAGAGCCTAGGAGGAGCAGCCCTCACTAGGGGGCTTGAGTGCTCTGCCTGGGGGCCGCAGGACCCCTCACCCGGCCTGTGCCCCTACTAAGGCCTGCCCACCCCCTCAGTAATACCCTCTACTGCTCCCAGCCCACCGTCCTCCCCTTTCTCCAGAGGCACACGGTTCCAGTCCCCTACAGACGGCATCTTGGTTTATATTCCTGTTACCAAGGCAACAGAGGGACACAAAGCCCTCAATTACCTTGGTCACATGATCTCGCTTTAGCAGGTCCCCTCCCTTCCCAGCAGATAAGAACACTTGGAGAGAGAGTGGGCCTCAAGTACCCCATCCCCCAGCCCCCCTTGGCCACTGCGCATCTGAATTCCAGCCCAGACCCCCCCCCAATAACCTCCCCCTGCCATGCCCCGCAAAGGATTTTAGGCTGTGGGGGAAGAAGACTCTAGTTCCAACCCACTAGAAGAACCGATTCCGGTTTGGGGGTGGGTGGTGGGGTCTGCATGGGGCTCACAGGCCCCGGGTCACTCTCAGGCTTCATCCTGCAGGCTGCCCAGTCCCCAGGGCCTTCCCCACCCTGGGGCAGGCTAGAATAGCCAACTGGGCGTTTTGCGCTCTCCCCAACCTCCCCCCACCCCCCGCCCCCCGCTCTGGGGCAGCCCGCAGGGAGAGAGAAGAAATGCAGACTGCCCGTAGCTGGGCCTCAGCGCCAGCCATACACTCATGCACACTCAGGCGCAACCCACAGAGGGCCACACCTCAGCTGGAGAGGCGAGGGAGGAGGTGGTGAGGAAGGTGTCTGGCCACAGGCAGGGCCCTCATCAGCACAGCTAAAGCAAGAAGCGACACTCCCAAACCCAGCTGAAGATGTGGCGATCTGATTTTGTCTGGCTTTTAAATACGGACTCCTCCCAAACCACCAGAAACCTACCGGTATGGATCTGTGGGTCCCAGTCTGGGCAGGCACGTGGATACTGAGAAATCCGCACACAGCCCAGGCAGAGGTGAGCTGGACCTCCAGCCTTAACCTCCCTGCCCTCCCTCTTCCCCGACAGCCCTCCAGGCCATTCGGCAAGTCCTCAGTGAGTTTTTCCAGCAGCAGCAGCAGCCTTTAGACTCAGCGTGTGCTGTGGGCTATGTTCATGGCCAAAACTGGGCATCTGGGCATGAAGCGAGCTCCATGCCAGCCAAGTGCAGGTGTAGGGGTGGGAGGGGAGCAATTGTGAACCCTCTGATTGGATAACAGACCCAGGACCCCACTGGCCTCTGGGTGGGGTGGGGGCTGCTGCCCCTGTTCTCACCACACACCTTGACTATGGTTCTGAGATGGCTCAAAATCCGAATCCGAGCTGGAGTCTGAGCTGGAGCTAGAGTTGGATGGGCTCGACTGGGCGGACTTCACCCCCATGATGGGGGCAGATGGGGGAGGGAAAAGAGGAAAAGAACCATCACCTTTCCGTCCAGAGGAAAGAAGAGGCAGGTCTCCCCCAGACATATACCCACAGGGTCCCAAAGGCGCCCTCAAGAGCCTCTCCTGAGACCCCACCAGGGATCCCCAGTCCACGGTTAGCCCGCAGCCCACCACCCACTTGTCCCAGCCCCAGTACACCACCAGTTTTCATTCAAACTACAACAACCTCTTGTCCTAGTAAGAGACTTGTACATTTCTAGGAACGCCAGGAGCAGCTTTGGGCCACACCTCGACTTTCCCGCCTGCCTAGGCAAGAGCACGTTACACAAGCTCTCAGGCAGGGTGGATAGGGTGGCTGGTGCAGCAGAAAAGTCTGGAATAGGAAAGCTGGGCCCAGCTTCTCATTCTGACCCAGACCCTGACCTGGGGCTCAGGCACAACAAAAAGCTCCATCTTTCTGCCCAGGTGCTGCTACCACCCACCAGCAGCCCAAGTACTGACGAGCAGCATTTGCACGTGTGTTGTGCCCGTATGCACATGTGACAGACACCATGGAGCAGCCTGGTCCATCCTTCCTCCACTTCCTGCAGCATCCACCCTGACTCAGCCACCAGGGGGCAGTAAAAACCAAAACAAATGTGACAAGAACGCGAGGGGGTACGTGTGGGTGAGAGGGTGACTGTGTGTGCGCGCGTGTAACTCAGGGCTGCATCTCCCTGGGTGCACAGGCATCAGTTGCTGCAGACACATCTGGGCCAGAACAGGGGTAGTGTGTGCTCCAGGTCTTTGCTTTCTGCTGACAGGCTGCTTCAGAGGTGTGTGTGGCAGAGGAAGCGGCTGGCCCAGAGGACAGCACAGGCTCTGAAGAGCAGGAGTAGGTCTGCAGCTCCCAGAATCTGCCCTGGCCCAGGCCCCAGGGAGGCTGCCTCAGACCCTGCAAGCCTGTCCTGAGGCTGGGGGCTGCTCAGCCCGCTCCCCTTGAGGGACATGTCTGGTGGTGGAACTAAGTGAGTTGGGCACCTTGGCCCAGCCACCTCCATGCACTTCCCGTCAGGAGGAGGGAGGGATCTACCCTAAGAGAATCATCGTGCAGTACATGCATGTATTGAAACAACACACTGTGGAACTAAGTGAGTTGGGCACCTTGGCCCAGCCACCTCCATGCACTTCCCGTCAGGAGCAGGGAGGGATCTACCCTAAGAGAATCATCGTGCAGTACATGCATGTATTGAAACAACACACTGTACCCACAAATGATGAACAAGCAAATGTTAAAAATTAAAAAAAATATTTAAAAAAAAAAAAAAAAAAAAAAGGAGGGGACAGAGGCGGCTGCCAGCCATGTGAAAGAAGACCTCAGGGAAGGAGTCCCAACCTGCTGGGACTCAGGAAGCCCTCAGCCCCTCCCCACGGTGCGCAGAACAAAGGCAGCCCCCACCCCACAGAAAGGGACCCAGGAATGCCCAAGGCCTCTCTTCACTCAACAGATCCATAGCGTGATCAGACTGCCTGCGAAAAGAAAGTTCTACACCTGGAGAGTGACAGGGGTATCTTTTCTAGGGCTTATTACCACAGCCTGACCCAACCCACTCCAGCTCCTCTGAAGTGCTCCTGCTTGCCCACCCTCCCAATGGCAAATCGTGTTCCCTGGGGACCCTCCTGGGAAATCCAGCCGAGGTTTCCCATCAAAGACTGTCCACCGTGGGACCGACCTGTTTCCCCCAACACACACACAAGTCCCATGCCACCTGCCACCTGGCTGGGCCTGGGGCCACATGGCTCCTCCTGTCCACACACCCCAAGTTCCTATCCTTGGGGAGGAGGGGGCAGAGTAAGAGAAGAGTGAGAGCTGCCTCAGGGGCCTGTTCTACACACAGCTTTCTTGCTAACTGGCCTTGTCACTCGGGTCGAGGCACTGCCCAGTGTTAAGCCTCAGTTTCCTCCTCTGTGAAGGAGCTGGCCTGCTGGCCTCTGCCGAGCATGTGTGCATATCAGCTGCCAGCACATGGAGGCTGATGTCAACCCTCCCTGTGCCCTCTGGGGCTGAAAGTCTGGACAGAACTACTCGGTGGGGTCCAGAGTGTGAGTGGTGGGGCCAGGACAAGAGCTACACTGGGGTGGTGGCAGCACCACCTAGGGAGAAGTGGGCCCCAACCCTGCCTCCCAAGCGCACTCTCACTCCCCGGGAGCAGTTCTCCAGAGACCAGAGGGGGCCATCAGGCAGGGAGGGCCTCAGGGCCCCGAGAGGCTTGGCCCTGGGAGTACTGGTGCTGTGCTCTGCAGCAGGTGTCAGATGAACTCTTCAGCGCACCTGCCCCTCTCTTTCCATGCAAATCCAAGCAGCAGGGAGTAAAGGAATCTGGAAATGGTTTTGGCCGAAAAAGCCTAGAGGTGATGCGGTCAGAAGGCCGGCCAGAGTGCTCGGGCCACTCAATGTGTCCAAGAGGGCAAGTGGCCTGGTCCTGCTCTGCTCACAGCACCACTAGGCTTGTGACTGGCCCGTGAATGAACAGGACCAACTGGTTCAGGAACCCCAAGAACCAAGAGGACCCCAAAGGAGCAAGCTGGAGGAACAGGGGAGCTAGGCCAGGGGATGGGGACAGAAGAGCTGTCCAGTGGCCTTGGAGGGTAGGCGTGGGCCGGGTGCCAGTGCCATGGGAGGAGGCAATTCTGAGTCTGCACTGGGGTCGGAGCTCTCCGGCAGTGGGGCTACATGCAGCCTCCAGGGAGGGATCGCCTGTGATGGCTGAAGAGAGGCTGGGTGGCCATGCGTCTGGAAGGCCCTCTCACCTCTCCCACTGTAATAAAAGTCTGTGCTTTGCCGAAGTCCAAGGGCTGGAAAACATCAGAGACAGCCTGAGCACGCTGCTGGGCCTGCACATGTTGAACGGAGCTCCTGTGGCCGAGGCAGGTGCTCAGAGGCTCCTCTTCAGCCAGGAAGAAACCCCACTTCCTCGAGCCTGCTCCAGCCTTGAGGCCACAGAGGCTGCACATCCAGTCCTCCTTCTGAGCGGCAGCACCCATGGTGGAGGGAAGCTTCCCACAAAATGTCCCAGGTGCTTCACAGAGCTCAGGGTGAGGCCGTCGGAGCAGAGTAGGGCTTGCAGAGCCCCAGTGGAAGCCTTGGGTGCAGAAAAGGCTCCCCTGGAAGTGCATGGTGGTGGGACCGGGTTTCACCCTGCATCTGTCCCTGACCCAGGCACCTGCTCAGTGCTATAACTGCTGCATAGGGAGAAGAGACAGCAGACCTGGGTGCCCAAGAGAAACCCACAGAAGCTCCAGCAGCTGGGGGCCGCTGCCAAGATGGCCCCAGGTTTCTGTGAGGCAGCATCCAGGGCCCCGTCCCCTCAGGATCACTGGCAGGAAATGCTGTGTCTTCAGGCAGGCTCTGGCCATGAGAAGCACTGGGCTCAGCTCACTAGCCCCATGTGGTCTATGAGCTAAGGGGATGCACTGTCACCCACAAACCAACCATCAGCCCCTCAGCCTGTGCTGTCACCTCCCATGAGGTGGCCTGATCAGTGTGGCTGATATAAATCACCTCTGGCTTCATCTCTAAGAACCCCTCAACCATGAGGTGGCCTGATCAGTGTGGCTGATATAAATCACCTCTGGCTTCATCTCTAAGAACCACTTTCAAAGTCCCAGCAGAGCTCCAAGCAGCAGCCCTGGAGGCAAAGCTTTTTGCCCCCAAGGGTTTGGAAACAGAAAAAGGCCACTGAGGGCTGGAGCTGGTGATAAAGGTGGGGGATCGATCACTTATTCATTCTTTCATTCATTCATTCATTCAAGCATCCACTCTCTGAATGACAGATACCAAATACAGCGGTCGGAGACACCGCCGCTACCCAAGGCCCCAGTTAAGGTCTGGCTCCTGACTCTCACAGCCCAAGGCATCCCATGTCCAGCTGCGTACAGCAGGCACAGGTGGCTGGGAGGGAGCAATGATGCCCCAGACCCCACTGGCCATCTGGGAAGGGGGCTGGGCGCAGGTCAATCGCCATCATTGCACTTCCAGACAGGAAAGCAGGATGGTCACTCATGGGGATGCCATCAACAAAGGGAGGGAGCTCCTTGCTGAGTGACCGTGTGGTGGCCAGGAAGGGAGCAACGGCAAGACACGATGGCCCACCAACCCCTAAGTGGCCTGTGAGACCCTGGCCCAGGCAAGGGGGTTACATGAGGAGGGGAGCACTGAGCCCAGGTACCAACCTATCCTGCTTTGCCAGAACCAGGCAGAGAAGTCACTTAGGAAGCCACTAATTCCTGTCTCATGGGGCAGCTCTCACAAGGCAGGCTTTTTCAGCTCTGAGAGAGGGGGAGACTGAAGCTCCGTGAGGCAGGGAGGCGCGCCCACGGTTACACAGAGCGAGCAGGAGCCCCAGGCCCCGGCTCCAGTTCCCACCCTCCGCCCCCACCCCTCCCTGGCAGACACTTGGCAGGAGGGAGGGAGATCGTGCTCTCACCTCTGACTTGAAGGAGGTCTCGTCCTCTGAGTTGGACTCTTCCACCTCCAAGGGCTTCTTGGCCTCCCGGGGCTCGTTCTCGGCCTTCATCTTCTCCCCTTTGGTGGCGCTTTTGTCCTTGGCCGGCTTTTTGTCTGAGAAGGAAGACGACGAGGTGCGGGGTGAGGTGCCTGGGGCACTCCTAGACCCCTTCGAGCTGCTCTTCTTCTGCTTTTTGGCGCTGGGCTTTGGCGAGTCCGCGGCGGCTGGCCGCTTGCTGGAAGCCTTGGGCGGGGGCGGGGGTCCCCCCTTGGGAGACATGCTCTCCAACTTGGTCTCTTTCAGGGCCATCTTGGGCTCCTTGAACGCAGCCTTGGGCGGCGGAGCCTTCTCCTCCTTGGGCAGCCGGCCTTCGCCCAGCTTCCGCGAGGCATCCTTGGTGCTCTTGGCCTGCTCGCGCTCCAGCTCCTTGGAGGAGCTCCTGCTCTCTGAGTCTTTGCGGGGCCGCTCCCGGTGCTCCTTGGTCACCTTATGTGGCTTGGAAGCCTTGCTGCTCTCCTTGTTGGCGTCCTACAATGCCAAGGGCAAGGGGGCAAGGAGGGAGAGAAGCGGTCAAAAGACATCTCGGGGTCGCCCTGCTCCGCCACCCCCAACCCCTACAAAGTATAATCGACCTGATTCAGACTCAGCTAGAGAAAATCTTCCATAAAGCGAAAAAGTAAGGCAGCAGGTGAGAGTTTTAAATGGAGCTGTCCCTTTAAACTACTAGGAAGTGGCAGCAGGTCCCGGGCGACTGCAGGCTAAGAGTCCCCTCTGAATTGAACTGACATTCCCTGAGGGATTCAAGAAGAGCACACGGTAAGTCAGAGCAAGGCAAGCCACAACGACCCGCTCCCGCGCCAACGCTGCCGCTGCCGCTGCCCGCTGCGCCCGGGGACGTCAGAGGCTCCTGACGCTGGGGGGTGCTGTGGGGCACCAGGGGACCCTGGTAGGCAGGCCTGCCCTGTCTTGGCCTCCTCTCAGCCCCCAGCACATGTCCTTGGTGCTTCCTGCTTGGTCACTCTCAGCCTTCCTTCTGGAGCCCCCGCCAGCTGCCCTCCTCTGGGCCTCCCCACTCCCCACTGCCAGCCCAACTCCAGCCCACCCTCGATGCACTCCACACAATCAATGTTTATCAGGTGCCTACTGGGTTCCTAGGTGCTGCACAGAACAAACAGCTCCCAGACCTCTCAGAACCGAAACTGCCTGGGTAGCTTTTCTAAAGCATGGACCACATGCCTGGGTCTTCACCTCAGCAATTCGGAGAGTCTAGGGTGGAGCCTGGACTCTGGGGCTGATCCTGCTGGGGACAGAGGTGGGACATATCTGCCCAAGGCTGCTGAGAACACAGGCCCAGGAGAGAGCCAGCTCTGTGACCCACATGCCACAGTACCCTGGGCTGGCAACTCCAAGAGACTGCACCTGCGTTTCCCTGAATAAAGGGCATGACCACCTACCTCACTGGGCAGTGGTGCAAGCCTGGCAGACAGTGAGTGCTCAAAGTGGGAGGGGGTGCAGTAGGCACAGGGCACAGCCTACACACCAGCGTGGCCTTTTCTACGTGTATGTTCCTGTCTCATCCCTGTCCGCCACACACAGCTGGCACCACTCCCTGGGGTGGAAGCCTCGTCTTCCCTATCAACACCCCAGTAGCACCCACACATCCAGGGAAGCTGAAGAGGTGCCTCTACCGACGGTTGCTGCAGGTTCCCCGCTCACTCAGAGAGACATGGCAGTCATCAGTGCACAGCGGGCCTCAGATGCACTCCAGATGAACGCTCACCAGCCTCATGGGCAAGGAGACTGGCAGCAGCCAGAGCCTGACAGTGGCCCACCCCGCCTTGTGTGGGGTGTCCCGTGAGCCAGCCGAGAGCATCATGAAGGAGGGAGGCAGACACCCTATCGGCTTTTCCGAAGACCTTCAGGAGCTTGGCCAGGGGGTGGGCCAAGCTCCTGCAGGCAAGCTGGCCAGAGGGCCTCTGCTGTGGCTCTCAAAGCCACCTGAGTGTCCAGGGAGAGATTCCTCCCAGCAAAGAACCACAGGGGTAGATGGAACGGCCTCCGCACCCCCACGTCAGCATCAGAGGCTCAGGGACAGTCCCCAGGGGCCATGGGCCTCTGCCGCTTCCCTGGAGTGATGGTAAGTTTGGCACTTGAACTGGCTCTTATGTCCCTGGGCAGTGGCAAGGACACTCACACCACAAGCCCCTGCAGCTGGCCTGGGCCAGGGAGCCCTCTCAAGGGCATCCCTCTTGGGTCTGGTGCTGGAACAGGGGGACAGCTGGCTGCCGAAAGAGGCAAGATGCACAGGACACCATGGTCAATCCGGGTCTATTCTTGCAGTGGACACAGGCTTGCTTGGGCCGGAGGAGCTGGCCAGCATCACAGCCACAAAGGGAGCAAAAAGAGAAACCTGAAAGGCACGTCCATGGCTGGCAACACGGGCCTGCTCAGCCAGCAGGAGCCTTCCCAGGGGTCAGCACAGGCACCCAAGACCAGAGGCTCTGAAATCACATACTGAGTTCTGAGAATACTGTGGACACTCCCAGGGATGAGTGTCCATCGAAATCACATTCTCCAACTTGTCCACGACACCCAAATGACTAAGAGCCAAGTTTTAGAGAAAGAGCAACTAGGCCTAGTGTCTGACATCAGACAGGGAGACAGGTGTCCCTGCAGCTACAGGTGTGCAGGTCCGGGTATGCCAGGAGTGGGGAACCACAGGAGCAGCCAACCTTGCAGCATGAGCCTAGCTCAGGTGGCCAGAGGGCCATGTGCCTCTCCCAGGAGGCCGCAATTCCTGCCAGCTATGCGACCCCCACGTGGGGACAGAACCAGCAGCCAGAGTCACCCACGGCTGCAACAGCCAGAATCCTCAGCAATTCTCTGGTTTGGGGGATTCCAATGAACATGGCCCCAAAACCCCACCCCATGCCGTCCCATCCTTCCTGGCATCAGGGAGCCCTGCTGAGGCCTCTCTGCCCACAGCACGTGGCCCAGCCAGTCAGACTCTCCAGGCAAACAGCTGGTGCCCAAAGGAAGGCTCTTGACAGGGAAGAGGCGGCTCACGGGTCCACGCCCTCCAGGGATCGCATGGCAAGGCTGGCGGATCAGAGCCAGAATGCTGGCAATGCAGAGGGCCCTTCCTGGAGAGCCATCAAGAGAAGAGCCTTGGCACGACACTGTGCTTCCTAAGAAACCTACACAAACCCCTCCTAAGTCATGCCACCAGGGGGCTGGAGAAAGCTCCTGGAACGCAGAGTCAGTGAAAACAGACGACCCTCTCTACAGGCCTCCTGAGCCTGGCTGACACACCATCAGGCTCGGGGGCTCACGAGGGCATCCTCACCACCTGGAAGGGCATTTCTTCTCAGGGTTTTAGGTGACTTCCAAGTGCTCCATACAGAAGAAATAGCAACTCCTTCCCTTCCTCTTTTGCACAGACTTCCATAGGACTAGGGGTGGTTAAGACAGAAGCCACCAAGACCCTTGGCAAGAACTTTTCTTTCATTTAACCTGCAGGAGGCTCAGGGAAAAACAGGACCTAGAGGCCGGTGTGAGGAGACCCCCAGGGCTACCTTCCCTACAGCAAGACTGATGAATCTGAGGATTTCTGACACCTACTGGCCTGTGGAAAGAGCTAGAAAGACCCTGCCTGGGTGATGTGGCTCTCCTCCAGTGCCGCTGATAGGCAAACTCCAAGACAGCTGAGAGCTCTGCCTGTCGCCCGGGGTGCCCAGGCCCACAGCACCCGACAGGCAAGTGAAGCGAGGGAAACGCAGGGGTGAGAAGCGGGCAGACGGTGGTCAGTGATGTGGTAACAGCCGTTGCCCTGGGAGTCGCGTGGAGCCTAGGAGGTGGTTGCCAAGGAACGGGATGCTCACTCACGGGCAGATATGTACACCATGGGACCATCTGAAGGGCTTTCCAGTTTGTCCTCTGGGAGCCACTCTGGGATGGTTCAGAGAGTGCCAAGACAAGGCAGCACATCCTTACTGCAGCGGGACCCAGTGGGCTCGCTCACGTCATCCCCCAACCCTCCCCAGGTGAGCTCCCCTCTGCAGCGAGCTACGGCCAGAGAAGCAAAGCCGGGCATGGCCAAGAGCAGGAGCCACCTGGGCTGCACTAAGGAGACCTCGGAAGGTGGGCAGCCGCAGCCCATGATAGAGACGCTCTGTCCCAAAGCAGCCCTGGTGCTGGCTGACTGTCTGTGGAGGCTGAGCAGTGCTAAGGGCCAGCCCTCGCTCGAGGGGAAGGGAGAGAGGATGGAGCAGGTGTCTGGCCTCAAGATGAACGGGGCAAGGAGCCGAGATCACTTGGCTTATTCCCTGGACTCCCAAGGAAGTGGCAGGGAGCAGCAAGGTGGAGCACAGAGAGCTCGAAGAGGAAGATGCCCCAGGGCGTGAGATCAGGTGCGCAAGGCCCAGCTCGGCAGGGGGAGGGCGCCCCGAGCCCAGGACCCACCACGGCAGGACGGGGCCTTCTGCCTCACTAACCTTGGAGCCGTGGGACGGTTTGGTCTTCTTGGGGTCAGAGAAGGCAGAGAGTGGAATTGTGGGTAACATGGGGTAGTCGGGGCTGGGCCTGGACACCGTTTCTGCTCCTTCGGGCATTACCATCACCTAGTGATAAAGAAGAGACAGACGTTATCAACCAGCACGGGGCAGGCCAGACATCCTCACAGGACGGAGGAGGCCCCACGTGAGTGTGGCTAAAGGTGGTCCGAGCTTCTTTTTTCAGGGGAGGGGTGAAAGGAGAGCCTGAGCACCACCTTCCTGAAAGAATCACAGGCATTTCCTCAGCTGGGGATTGAGCACTGAGTGAAGCAGGCTGGGTGGTGGAGCATGAAGAGAAGCCCGGGGTCCTAGGATGGTTGGACCCAGGTGGGCCGCAGAGCCTCAGGGAGGAGAGCCCTGGGCACAGTGGCCAGGAGGGACGGGCCACGAAGACTTGCAGAGCTTGCCGAGAAGCACGAGAAGGCAGCTGTGGCCAAAGCCTGACCTACGCGCTGAGGTTTAAAGAGACCAGAGGCACAGTCTGGAAAGGGAAGAAGCCAGCCAGATGCCGCAACAGTGATCATGCGGCAGAGTGAGCGACTTCTGAGCGATTTGCACAGATGCGACGTCGGCGGGTCCTGGAGAATAAGCCTTCCTCTGCTGGCAGGTGGCTGAAGCTGACTGAAACAGAGAGAGCAGCAAGGCCACAGCAGAGACCAGGCAGAAGGCCCGCAGGAGGTGGGATGCAGCCACCCTCAGCAGTTCTCTGCACAAGCCGCCGCACACAAGCTGCAGGGGAGGGAAGTGTTGGCTCCTGCACTTTGATAGAAAGCTATGGACGAGGGATGGCCTGGGGTCCTTCCATGAGGTGCTCCCAGGAAACACCTGCCTGGTCCCAGCGAGGCTCTCAGGACACCTGGTACAGGGAGAGAAAGCTTGGGGCACAGTCTGGAAAAACCAACACTGCACGTTAGTTACCACAACCACTGAGGCGGGTCATTCAGAGAAAGCCCTCCCAACAGCAGGATAGAACAAGAGAGTAAAACGCACTTCAGAAAAAAGTATTGACCTCAGTAGAGGAAGCATCACTAATAACCTAGAGCACCTGGGAGGGGTGAGCCAAGCCTTTCATCTAAGCACGCTGATGTGACGCCGACACAGGGGCCACCCAGCTCTGAGCTGTAGCTCATCAGAGCCATGTGATCACAACACTCAGAAGCACGGCGCCGATGACAGCCAACAGCCGAGCCTTACACCGGCTCCCAAAACACATGCCACATGGACGTCCCCATGCTTCAAGGCTGGCAACACCACACATGGGGTCACAGCAGCAGGGCCAGCCTGGTGGCACACTGGCCCCAGGAGGCCATGGCTTGCCCACTCTCAGGCCCTTTCCTCCCACTCTCGCCTCATTCACCTTCTCCCCCTTCAACTGTGCGTCCTAAACTGACACGATTTCAGGATCACGCAGTCTCTAGGCCTTTTGTGTCTCTCTTCTGCTCTGTAACAATGACCTTTAAAAAGAATTAAGGTGAAGGTCAACAAAAGGATCTACTTCTACCTCCGTCGAGGGACTGCCATGAAGACAGTCTCTCCTGGTGGAAATACAGACCCTCAACTGATGGGCAGAGGACAAGAAGCAGCTGTGGGTGAAGGCCAGCCTGACTCCTAGAGCAGTGGGAAATCCCACTCTGTCACTTCTGCAAAAGTGGCAGAAGCCTCACACGAACAGTTACAAAACTCTAGTGCCCCCAGCACAGGGGGCACAGACGGCAACTCTCATCCACTTACAGACCGGCCCTTCCTCCAGGTCTTCCAGCACGACATCCACACAGGCAGGGCTGGGGTAAATAACTCGCTACTGGACAGCAAAGACCTGCCCCACTGAGGACACGCAAGTTCCAGAATAGCTAACACAGGAAGCACAGTTCCCTGGTCCTGGCAGTCACTGAGAGGAGCCTCTGTCCCATAAGGGTCTTGGACTGCTCTGGAGGCTGCAAGAGCTCCTGCCTGCCCAGCCAGCTCCTCAGGTGGCGCTCTCTGAGGGTGAACAGCGCCACAGCCTCTGTCAGAAGCGCAGCAGGGGCTGTCAGACGCTCTCTCCCTCCCTCCCTCCCTCGCGGCCCTTCACAAACTGAGCTGGCCCTTCCCTCCCCACCTCGTCCCCGCCCCACAGTTTTATATGTTTAGATGATGCCCACAGAGCATTCATCTCCTCGAAGTACAGGACACCACCTCCAGCAGTGGGCAGGGGCCTGGGCAGAGCTGACTGTTTCCCAAAGAAATGTGACCAGGGAACCTCTAGGGGATGCCCAGAAACACCTCAGGGAAAATACATGGCCGCGTAATAAGGTGGAGAGACAGACCTAGAGAGCTCTGGGACTTGGCCCCCTCCCTAGATCCTCAGTTCTTCCAGAACTCTGGGCAAACCTGCCCCATGCTGCTCACGTAAATCCATCCCACAGCCTCCCTGCCTCGCTACTGGCCTCCACATGCGCTTAAGTGCCAGATAGGAATCACAAACGAATCTTTTATTAGGAACACAGCAGGACTTACCCAAACTTTCTACCAGGAACAAACTATTGCTTTAATTTAAAAAGAAAAATGTCCATAAAAGACCCAACTGTGTAAATTTAAAGGAAAGAGCTGCTGCTCCCTGAGCCTAAAGAAACTCAACCCCAACTCCCAGTATTCACTTTGGAGAACGAACTGCCCCCTACACTGCACGCACACACACACCACACATGACAAACACATGCACACCACACACACAACCTGCATATGCACACACACACTCTCCACACCCACACACACAACTCTGGCCTGACTCCACCACCTGCAGCTCCTGCTACACAGACTGTCCAGCCTGCAGCCCTGTGCCCTGTCCACCTCCACACACAGCCATCAGCACCCTGCACCCCGCCCCCATCTCCAAGAGCCCTGATGGGGTGCTCTGCCCTGGTGGTGATTCCACCCAGGCCACTACATGGGGATCTCAGCCACACAACTCACTACAGAGACCTACATCTGAGAGCTGATGCTGTCATCTGGCCTCATGAGGACAAAAGCGACGAGCAGTGGTGCACCATCAAGGCCTCTGCAGAGAAGCCCCCACGGCCTCCCCCAATGGCACAGCGCCCAGCCGCAGCCCTGCCAAGCCGGTTGGTTAAGAGTTGGCTCAGGCCTGGCCACGCGGACAGACCGGCCTCAAGCTCATTCCTTCTGCAGTTCTTCGTGCAGGAAGATGCTAATCAACCATAGCCACCCATGAAACTATGGGACAACTAGTGACTCGTCATCAACACAGCCAACGCGCCCGCACAGGCGGGGGAGCACCTGTTCCCATCCAGCTGCGCCAAGCGCTACCTGCACAACCTGCACCCCGGCCAGCAGGGCGGGGCTGCCCACTCGGGCACACTCACCCCGCCAGCCCTCAGGAGCTTGTACCGGAACTCAGTGGTGGGGTTGTTGAAGGTGAGCTTCTCGCAGCGCAGGTGGTTCACGGGCGGGTTGCCCTCCAGGTTCAGGAACAGGTCATAGGTGAAGCACACCTTCCTGGGCTCCTCCTGGAACAAAGAAAACAAAGAAGTCTGCATCAGAGGTGCAGGCGGCTGTGGCCACGGGACAGGACAGGAGCAGGTGCCAGCTCCCAACTGTGGCCCTGGGTCCTCCTTCCTCCTTCCCTGCCTGCCGGCCACCTCTCCTCCCCTCTGATCCTCATCTGCTTCTCTCTTGGCCTGCCTCCTTCTCTCTTCCTCTCTTATGCAAAATAAGTTATCTCACTATGTGCAGCAGACTGGGCAAAGCAGCCTCCGGACAGAAACAAAGACCACTAATAACGATGCTCTTAGAGGATTACAGAGATATTCCCGCCACTGGTGTAGACAGCCACATGCATGCGTTCCCCCTTCAGCCCTCACAGCACTCGCTGGCAAATGGGGAAAGTGAGGCTCAAAGACACACCACAAACAGGCGGCACTGCTGAAACCCAACCCATCCCCTGAGGCCCACGATCTTAATGCCTCAACTCCCTGCTTCTTTTCCAGGAAGGGTTGAGCCCACCAGGGAGCACGAGACACAGCCTCAGACAACAGGACCAGAGCTTGGAGTGAGCTGCAAGCAGAGCAGGACAAGAACACAGACATGAGATCACTATCTAGTTTCCGCGAGGCTGCGTCCTCGCCACCCCACAAGACAGTGCAGAACAGCGCCCGGCATGCGGCAAGCCCTTGATGGATTCATGAGACTAGTGAGCAGGGAGCTCCTAAGGCACGGCCATGACAAAGAGACTGAGTGAGGGGTGTGGTGGGCTCAGGGTAGGAGCTGTTTGTACCAGCTCCTTCCAAGGCCCCCAAAGGGCCCAGCAGTGTGTTTACAGGGTTGTGTTTCTGTATACCTCAACAAAGCAAGATACGTTAACATTCTTTTTCTTAGAGTCCCACAAAATCCAGATGGGCTCCTGGCAGGGATATCAGGCTGGTAAGAAAAATAGAGGGAAGAGGGAGTGTGGAGGATCAGCCGGGACAGGCTCGAATGCCATGCTGGGGGATTTAAGCCTGTTCTTATAAACAATGGGTATGTGTACATTGACGAGCAACTGGTTTTCGACAAGGGTGTGGAGACAATTCAATGGGGAGTCTCTTCATCAAATGGTGCTGGAATGACAGGATTAACTACACACAGAAGAGCAAAACTGGACCCTTACCTCACACTATACACAAAAATAACTCAAAATGATCAAAGACCTGAATGTAAGAACTAAAACTATAGAACTCTCAGAAGACATGGGTGAGCGGGGTTGCCTAGAGGAGCAGCACCCACCATGGAGACAAGTGTGTTGGAAAGCCAGGAGACCTTCAGGTGGGCAAGGCCCGGCCCCTCCTGCCTTCTTGTCTTGTAAGAAAATCAGCCCTTGTATTAAGCCCTGTTATATGTTTGCTACGGGCAACTGAATGCTACCCTAACTGATACACCGAGACACAGCCAGTGCTCACTTCCCACGCAAAGCTCTGTGCCTCCTGGGAAGCAGGGGCTGCGGGGAGGTGCTCCACATTAGCTGAATGAATGAAATGCTGCTGTGGACGATCAGTGGGGGAGCGGGAGGGCTAGGAGGGCTCCCTGGATGATGGGAGTCAGTCAGGTCAAGGAGCTAAGTGGGGGTGGGGAGCTCCAGGCTGGACCAGCGAAAAGCCCATGTGGCCTAACAGTGGAAACAAGGTCTCAGGCTGCAGCCTCCTTGTAGCTGGAGCTGAAGTGGGGTGTGGAGCAAGGCGGCAGCAGGTGACCCCAGGGCAAGAGCCTTGGCCGCCACTGAGGAGTGTGAGCTGTGTCCTGAAGTGGACGAGGACCTGGAGCTCAGGAAGAACAGCCAGATCTGTGTCTCAGGAAGCCTCACCCTCAGGCCTGAGTGCCAAGGATGGACTGCAGGTGCCACTCATAACTGGGCGCACGCGGGTCTGGCCCTGTAGATAAAGGGGTGGAGGAATCAGGCCCCTGTCCTGTCTTCCCTGCAGAAACGGCACTGCCAGGTAAATCTGGAGAAGGTGAGGGAGGTAAACCGCATGGACGTGTTCCAGCCAATCCACAAGGAAGGAATGTGAGCACCACGTCTGTGATTCCTGTGACTTGGTCACCTAGGCACTGGCCACCAACTCAGCCAACATCACAGACACAGACCTCCACACCAGACCTGCCCTCTGGGGAGGTTGAACCCCCAGATCCAGGTACCACCCAGCAGGTAACACAAAACTCCGAAGATGGAGCTTATGTCACCACACAAAGGCTGCCACAGACAGATGGCACCAAGCTCTGCGGGACGAGTGACCTGCTTTCTTCAACAAATAGATGACAAAGAAAAAGAAAGAAAGGCAAAAAAGGTAGAGGGAGAACCTGTAGAGTAAAAGGGATTTAAAAGACAAACCAATCAATCACAATGCACGGATCTTACGGAGATCCTGATGCAAACAGAAAAAACCAAAATTTTAAACACTGACTTAAAAGGGATTATTAATTTGTAGGTGTGATACTGGCATTATTATCTTTTAGAGACACTGTCTGAAATATTTACAAATGATGTGTAGAATCTGCACTTGAGGGTGGTGGTGGGACAGGGACAGTGCGAGTGAGGCTGTGGCCGACCCTGCTGTCCAGGCGGTGGCTGCGAGGAACTGTTGCCTCACTCTGTCCACTTCTGCAAATGTCTCCAACTTCCCCTGATAACTTGTCTGATAACATTCAGAGGAGGCTCATGGCTAGCAGAGCTTCCTGCTCAGCAGCCTGGGGCCTGAGCGACACTGGCAGTGGGGGCCCCCAGCTGGCAGCTGGACATCCCTGCAGTGCCGTGTACAGAACGAGGTTAGACCAGGCCTGCAGCTGGCCTCCCACTGGCTGCATGGCCTTGGTCCTGCCCCCCTAAGCCAGGAATTCTTCATCCGTAGCATGGGAGGATTCCAAGCAATGCTGCAGCTACAGAGCTCAGCAGGCACCTGGGATACAAAGAAGCTACTGCTTTTCCCAGAAGGGAATCAAGAAGTGCACTGGGGAGAGACAGCAGTAGGCAGATGGCACCTGAAGCCACAGGACTCCCCAGGGATGCTCCACAGCTCTACCCACGCCAGGCGGGGGTGCCAATGCTCAGACCCGGTCCTGCCCCTCCCCTCCACTGTCTCCAGGTGGCCTCACACACGGCCGCAGCTTTGCTTTCTGGCTGCATGGCAAGTCTGGATGCTTCTCCCTAGCTCCTCCACCAGCCCCTCTCCAGCACCACTTGCCACCTCCCAGCCCTCCAGCTGCTGCCACAGTGGCCCCCTTTCAGGCCACAGCACTTGAACCAGCTCATGGCTCACTCCACTCCATCAAACCCTCAGCATGGCCAGGACCACCTGGGCCTCAGGCCACTCCCCTCCAGCCACACTGCCTTCAATTCTGCCCAGTTCTCTTTCTGACACCAGCCTAGCAGCTGGGCTTCTCACAGCACCTGAGTCACTCTCTTAGAGTGACTGTCGTGTTTTGTTCCCGATGAGCCTGGCCCTAAGCTAACACTCATGTCTGCTGAACATTCTTAAATACTCATTTATCCACCAAAACTGTAATGGGCACCTACCACATGTTCACAGCAGTGATCAAGACTGAGGAGGGTCTCTAACCTTAGGGACAGCCAGAGTATGAAGGCAGAACAGCCATGTCAGCAGTGACACTGATGTGACACTGGTAGCTGATCATGGCCAGGCAGTTTTCTGAGCACTAATGTGTGGGAATGTGCCACTGCCCTGAACACAGGTGCTCCCAGTGTCCCCATGTCCCTGAAGCCAAGGCAGAGAATGTGGTCAGAAGCAGAGCCAGGACTCGCCTCAGGCAGGTGTTCTCTGCAAACCCCGGATCTTGGAGAGGTTCCTCATGCCCACACGAGCCAACCAGAAGGCAACCGGCATGACAGGAGGCCAGGTCACGTTCTTTACGATTCCCTGAGAAAGGCAGTGCTGAACAAAGCGAGGAGGGCGGCACCCACAGCTGCCTCTCACCCTGGAGCACAGTGTGTGCCAGGCTACCAGCAACCTGGGATCAACTGCTGGAAGCTGCCCTGAGAGTCATAGCACACTGAGAATGGTGAAACGGTGCCCTCTCTAGATGAGACCTCAGGCCCAGGGAACTCCCAAGTAGGTTACAGACCCCTACCTGGACACCCCTATAAAACCAGCCTCCTGAGACAGGCCGAGACAAAGCCCTGCAAAGCCTCTGAGGCCTGGCAGCATGCTCAGCTGGCAATCCCCAGGGCAACATTCTCAGCCACTCCAGCTGGACCCCAATGTGGGCCTGCCCTAAGCAATTCAGCCGCCTGCTGGACTACAGTGTTCTAGGGCCCAGCCGGGAGCAGCCACCCACCCCCCAGGCCACTGGCCACAAGCCAGCATCTCTCCGGCCTCAGCAAACTGAGATGCAGAGAAACTGGCCAAACAGGTGCCGGTGCCAAAAGCCGTGGCCTGAGCACCCATCCAAAGTGCCGTGTGCCCCACACGCCTGCCAGCACTCCTGGAGATGAAGGTCGGGAGGGCCTGGGTGGCTGGGCTGGCCCTGGCACAGGGCAGGTCAAGGGAAAGGCCCAGGGCCCTGAGCCTAGCTGACTATGCCTGCAGTTCCTCCCAACAGCTGGGCCTCCTTCCACCGCTGGTTGCACTGTCCCTGGAGGATGTCCAGGTTTACCTCTTCACTCCGGTGCAAGAGAAGAAGAGCCAGCCTTCATGTGAGGTGTCCTGGGGTGTCCTGGCCATCTCTATCCTGCCCAGTCCCGTCCCTTGGGGCCACTGGACATCCCTTGTGAGTGGCTCTGGGTTCACAGACATCCCCTGGGCTTAAAACAATGACAGTTAAACCTGAATGTGATCATGGCCCTAGATCTAAGTGCCAGTTTATAGGAAATACCAGAGAAATATTGCCACGCAGCTGCCATGAGCAACATTCCTGCAGGACACACAATACAACTTCTTCTCAAAATGCTGTGTAAAGAAGAAAAAAAAAAAAAAAAGACATAGATATGAGACAACAGGGGCAATTGGATATGTGATAATAT